GGGGAGGAAAGCTGCTCTGCTCCTCCGTGTTCTCTCTTGATCTGCATTTCTAGCTGGTGTTGTCACCAGCAAACCTGCTGTGCTCCTTGCCAGGTCTGCAGGTCTTGGCTGGTCACTGCCCTGTGCTCTGCATGGATGTGTCTGCGTTTTTCCAGAGACCAGCTTCAGCTGGTTCGTGTGAAGTGCTGACTTCAGGCATTGCATAGAGCGTGACTCAGAAGGGCAGAAGTTTGGGGAAAGGGAGGAAAGTCTTTTTAAGGAGTTGCGAGCTGAAAGCTGCTGTGAAGAGAGTTGGTAGAGGTGGCCTGGTTCTCTTCCAGCTTCAAAAGGAAGAGTGCTGAGGGTTTACAAAGAGCTGGCACAACTGCAAGGCAAAAAGAATGCTTTATTGAGTGTGTAAATGCTCGTAAAGCCAGGAGTAAAGCTGTTAATGCTGTGTATGCGTGGGTGTGGGTGCGTGTAGAGATAGGGAGGAGAAGCTGCATACCAGACTGTGCATGGGGGGATAACAGAGGGCCTGCTGTTCCATAGGAGTGGGTTGGTGACAGTCACTGTCTCCAGCAGAGCAACTGGTTGGGGCAGAACCAGGTTCCCTGCTCTGACTGCTGAGCCCAGGGCAGGTGAGTGCTGAGCCCAGCAGCTGCTCCTGAAGCCTCAGTGTAATGTCATACAAAGGTGGGCTTGCAGACCACAGAGCAGAGATGCTCAACTTGAGGTCTTGTAGAGGGAGACCACAGGGAGAAGCTCATCCTAATTCCTCTCCCCGTGATATGTCTACGGATGTCATGTAGCAGAAATACAGACTGGCTTTGTGATAAGTCAGGAGAATGGCTCCTTTTCCCCCAGCACAGGAACTGCTTTGCATGTGCACCTGCTGTGGGGTAGAGGCACCTGCACTGTGGTTGCACGATGGCAAAACAGGGATGAGGGGCAGAGGAGATGGCAGGAGCAGGTTGATCTGTGCCTGGGGAGGGAGGGAGGTTGGGGAAAGGAAAGGAGCAGCAGATGAGCTGTTCTTGAATGTAGCCCACAGGCTGAGCAGCCCCACAGGAGAGAATCCCCTCACTTCCCTCCCTCTGGCATTTCTTTGCCAAGATGCTTGCCAGACAATTTGCTGATGTGGGAGCTTTGAAGCCTCTGATGTTTGCCTTCTGTGCAAAACCCAGCGAAAGTAGGTTGGAGCCGTCTGCCCTGTTTGTGAGCAGTTCCTGCTCTGTTTGTGAGCGGTTCCCTCCCCAGGGCGATGGACGCCGTCAGATCAGAGCTCAGCAAAGGCACAAAGGGGAGCGCCAGGTGGGGCAGGCAGCCTTGCACCCCACTGCAAACAATGCTGACAGAGCCCTGCAGGGCTGGGCGGCCCAGCCTGGGATTGTCCTTTCCCAGCCAGGTGGAAAGAGAAGCCTGAGCTGTGTCTCCTGAGGTTCCCCAGCCCAGGGGCTGTCTGCCTGCCATGATTGCTCTCCTGGTTTCAGAGCAGTGTTTGCACGGATGGGGGACACAAGTGTGTATGTTTGTGTGAAGGATGGGGGGCTCCTTGTTCTTAAGCATCCCTACCTATTCCTGTCACCACTCTTTTAGTTGTGCCAAAGTCACTCTTGGCCTTTCTGTTCCTGCTTTATGTGGTTATCTAGACTATTTGGCTACTGCTGTGTACCAATACAGTCCTGTGAAGTCAGGGAAACTCTTCCCCAGTGTCTGAGAACCGAAGGAAACACTGCTCTGCAGGGCTGCAGAAACCTCGCCAGCTGTCAGCAGGTGAGCTCTGGCTGAAAGGCTCCACTGAAGGTTGCAGGTTTCTCGGTGCAGTTGGTTTTGTGCACGAGAGGAATAAAGGCCGGTTGTGAAACGCAGATCCGCATCTGAAACTGGATTTGGATCTCACCCCAGACTAAACAAATCTAAACAAATGTGATTCTGCAAGTCTTCTCAGATGATAAACACTGAGAATGGGGGCAGTTATGTACATATGCACTAGACACGTCTGTTCTGCTCTGCAGAAAGCAGCTGTGGATGTGTGAGGACCTTGCATTTTTTTTGTCTTGCAGGGTAGGATTTAACAGAAGAGCAAGGGATGTTGTCAGCCTTGGTCCTGACCATTTGCAGCCAACTTGAAGCAGAGGAGGTGATGGGAGTAATGGGAGTTGGATCTGAGCTGCCACAGCAAGATGAGCAATTGCTTTAGCAGAGCTGTACCTGGGGTGAGGGTTAACCTATGGAGTATCTACTAATATCTCTAGTTAGATGGCATGCATTCTGCATCTGCTAGGGTTGCTTTTTGGTAAGGGGAAATATTTCTCTCACTTCAGTTTAGCAGCTGGAAGTGTGAAGGACGTTTAATGCTGCTAAGGGAGATTCACTCTTGGCTGACTTGGGGCCTTTCTGTCCTTTAATTTACCTAAGTAGGACCTACTCCCCCCCCCTGCTTAAGGCTTTATGTTCTCCCTCCTTTCCAAGCAGCAATCGGTAAGCAGGTTTTACAGTGGAAATCAATGTTTCTATAGCAGCTTCTGTGAAGCATTATGCTTATCTGAATTGCTCTCTGCTAGATGTTCCTGAGAAACAAGAGGACAGCGAGAGCATTAGGTGAGTACAGACACAGCTGGGTGGGATCTGTGAATGATCCAAGACTGTGTCAAAACATCCCCACCCCATTCCTTGCATGGCTGGGATGGTTTGCAAAAAGCTCCTACTTCTCAGTAAGTGGTAGAGAAGTTGGTACAAAAGCAGCTCTCAGAAGGGAGCCAGGCCTGCTGTGCTGCTGTAGTTGAGGCTCGCTGAGATTTCTCCTTGTTCCTCTTGGGATTAAGCTGGCAGAGAAGGGACAGATGCCAGTGTCTGTTTTTAGCTGCATAAATCAGGAGCAAGGTGATGAGAATAATCAGGCTGAAGTTCTACTTAATCTGCCATTTCTGCTGCTTGTCGAAAGAAGCATCCTCATAGAATGACCTGGGTTGAAAAGGACCATAATGAACATTTAATTTCAACCCCTCTGCTATGTGCAGGGTCGCCAACCACCAGACCAGGCTGCCCAGAGCCATATCCAGCCTGGCTCTGAACACCTCAAGGGATGGGGCATCCACAACATAATAACCTTCAATAAGGTTTCAGGCTGGTCCCAATAATTCTGTCCTGTTAGTGCTGTCCATTACCTGCTGTAAATTGACTTCAGAATGGAGCTGTGATTTCAGCATGATTTTATAAAGCTTGGGAGCATCGTGGGTCTTCCCATGCTGACACTGCCTGTTCCTTGTGCAGCTGGAGGACCTGGATGGACACCTGGATGGTGAAGAAATGGGGTCTTCCCAGGCTGGAGTGGCAATGGAATTGGAATGGGTCAGCCCTACTGTAGGTAGGGGAGATTGAAATGCTGACCCTTCCCCAAACTGAGTGGAGATGCAGCCAGGAGGCAGTTCCAGTTGTGAACCCCAGCACAGCAGACTGGGGCTCGGCTGCAGTCAAGGCTTGGTTTATACACTCAAAGCCACTGTCTTGAGTTACTTCTTACTCTACTTAAGGTCTCAACAAAGACTGAGAAGCACTGAACACGTTTGAAGGTCATGGTTCTGGTTTTTGTATGAAGCTTCAGTCCTCCCAACCACTGAGTCCTTTTCCTTGGTCCCATTAGGATCCCTCAGGACCTTCTAAAGTGGAGGCTCCTTCTCCAGGTCCTCTTGGCATTGCTGCCCTAAATAATACGTGTTGTATAATCTGCAGAGCAAGCTCCAGATACGAATGTGGGCGAATCCTCCAGGGAGAACTGAATTCAGTGCTCAGGTCAGAACATGTCCCATGGGTGTTTGTTGTGAGTGTGAGCTGGCTGTCTGGGAAGCTGCCAGGATGGCATGGATGGAGGCTTCTGCTCCATCAGAAACGGGACTGCACAGTACAGAATTAGATGGAGAAAGCTCTGACATGAGGGCTGAATAACCAGCTGTGGTCTGGCTGTTGAGAGGGGAAAACGTGCTGTCTGCCCCAAAGTTTCAGGTTTCTGAGCAAATCCGAAGCTAAATGAGTGAATTTCAGAGGTTTTTAGCACGCTGCAGTCCAGAGTTCTAAAAGAAAAAGATGTTTTGCATTGGTTCTTCCTTGCCTAGGTTATACATATTCACTACCAGTTTGTGAGTTTTGAGCCAGCAATGGTTCCACCATGTTCCCCTGATGTCAAAACCTGGGACTTGATCTGACCTGGTGGGAGAGCTGGCACTGAGCAAGTGAACTGGTGACACTGGCTTCAGTGGAGCCAGGCAGGTTTCTAGCTAGTAAAGTGCTAAGGGAGTCCTGGATTTATACCTTGAGGCCAATGAGACAAGGGAGGCATAAACCCAGAGTGGTTCTGGACCGATCTGATGTGACCTTGCTTCTTGATTTGTGTTTCTCATCCCTGTTTTGTATGCAGAAAGCTCCTGGTGGAATGGAACAGGCTCAGCAGCGTAGTGGGCATGGCCCCAAGCTGATGGAGCCCGTAGGGCACTGGGACACTGCTCTCAGATGTGGGGTTTGATTAATGCTCCATAGGGCCAGGGGTAGGATTCAGGCATCCCCTTGTTCCCTTCCAACTGTGATGTTCTATGATTTTTGTGTTGCTGGTGGTGTCATTCAGCCCTGCTGCACTAACCCTGCACTGGGTAGATCACAGTGGATACTTTTGGGTATGCTGAAAGAGCTGGAAACAGAACCCAGGTTCTCTCTTTTCTCTTGAGGTGTGAACCCCTTCCCTGCATGTTGGTTGGGGCAGCTCAAGGAGGCACGTGTTTGCTGGGAGGCTGAAGCTACTGGCTGGGAAGGGTCCTGGTGTTGCACTGGGGCACCACCAGGGTGGGAATATTTGAAATCAGGAGGTTTGTTGCACTCTTGGTGTCAGTTCCAGTGCTATTAGTGAGAGTAAGCTGGACATGTGGGCAACAAGGAGCCAGGCAGTGAGCAGACAGGTTTGGCAATGCTGAAAAATGATCTGGGTGCATTCTCATGAGCAAAACTCCAGCCCAGTGTCACCTTTGCAGGAGGAGGCTGCATCCTGAGCAAGCCCAGCGGAGGGACCCTCCATGCAGAGGGGCTGCCTGGCCCCACACATCCTGCCCCCCTCCTGGCGTTCCCAACCCTCTTCCTGCGTCAGAGCTCCCGGTGAGTCACAGCTGGGATTCCTCAGCTCTGAAGTGGTTCCTTCTCCTTTCTTTTCCCCCTCCCTCCGTTTCTCCTCCCCAGGTGCTGAGCTTTTTTTCCAAAGCCTTGAATTGAAGGGTGTGTCTATGAAATCTCACAAACACACGCAGGCCCTGGCAGGAATGGGTGAGCACTGTTCCCATTATGTTATGAATACCTGGCCGATTGCCACGGGGACGGTGCCAGGCTGAGCAGCCAATCTCCAGCACCTAGACCTGCTGAGCTCTGGGGTTTTCCTCCTCTCGCTAAGTCACTGCTTTGCAGAGATGGACAGTTTTAATCTCTTCTCAGCAACAGCCATGTTCTTGTACTTGCTTGGCCTGCTGTGATATCCCAGTTCCCACGGTTTGCTTCTTCCCAGGGTAACGTGCAGGTAGGGGTGGAGAGTTGAGCAGGCAGCTCCGGACTGCCCATCCTGCTCTATGACTCATCTCGGCCAATGTGCAATCTCAAATACTTTCTGTTACCCTGCCCTACATGCTGGGCACTGCCCCAGCTCACCCGGGCCCCTCCGTGTCTCTCAGCTCAATCTGCTGCATCAGGATTGGAGGCTGCCTGGTGTATCAGTGCGTTGCAGACGTCTGTCAGGCTGGGAGGGAACACAGCTGGGTGGTCAGGGCCCAAACTGCCAGCATTGACACAGGGTGAATGCGTGCTGTTTGTGCGGCTCCTTGCGCTGCTCAAATGTCACCATGAGCACTTGAGTGTTTCTAATGAGGATTTCGAGGGGTATGAGGTGTTTGAATGCTTAAGGTTAGTAGAGAAGGGGCACTGGCTGAGACTATGCATGATCTCAAGCAGATTCAGAACTGAAGCCCAGACACAAGCTCTGGTTGCTGATGTCTGCAAAGTCCCACAGGAGCTGGTCTTCCTGCTGGTAGTGCCTGCTTGCCCAGCTGAGCCACCAGAGCAAGTTTGCAGCAGGGCTCCTTGGCTGAACCCTGTCTTAAAGGGCTGGCTACCATCTGTGCTTGCAGCATGTGAATCCTGGTACAAACAGGGCCTCATCTGAGTTTTGAAGTCTCAATCTCAATCACTGATGTGACCTTTTTTCTATTTTCCCATGTTTGTTCAGCCACCAGCTCACACATCTGCCTGTGGCATCGTGGCTGTGGTCTGGACAAGCTCACCTTTCCAAGCCTCAGAGATAACCTCCCATGCTGGAAAGAGGAATGTCCCCCCTCTCTGCTGAGACCTGCTGGAGGTTAGCACAGCCATAGAACACAGCTCACACACTCCTCCTGCCTGCCTGGAGGTGCCTTGTTTGCGTCCCCAGCTTTGGGCAGAGCTTCTGCTTCTCCCATTGCCCTTTTGCTTCATGCTCTAGGTTCCCACAGGCTCCCACTGCCAGCAGGTGATGTTACTCTATGACATGAATGGTGTGTGTGTGTGTGTGTGTGTGTGTGTGTGTGCAGTGGGGAGAATAGGTCAGGAGGTGCTGGGAAATCAGCAGCACCATCGTTTGGATTTGTGCCTTCTGTGGAACGAAACGTTGCTCTCCCCCATGTGCTGATCCCCATCCTCTCTGCCCCCACATCAGTGCTCTGTCCTCTTGGAGGGCTGTGCAGGATTATATATGGGCAAACACCAGAAGGCCAACCCAATTTCCATTTTGTTTCAGGTAAGGCTTCTTTCAGACCCGTGGCAGCCTTGTGGAAATGCAGGTATTTGGGTGGGGAGTGCGTTGAAGCAGCAGCTGCTGTGAGTCCCTGGTATGCCTGGAGGTGGAGGCGTGGGACCTATGGGCACTCCCACCCCATAAGCCCAAGGGCAGTGAGCTGACACAACTCTCCTGGAATCTGTCCCGCTCTAACCAGGATTGTTGGCAGGCGGGTACCGAATCTTGGCAGCACAACAAGAGAATGCTGGTTTCTCTGAAATTCCTGGGCTCGTTTGGTCAGGGTGCTGGCATGCAGAGCCAGGGAAGAGTTGGCACGTGCGTGGCTGCAGCAGAGCAGTGGAGCCTGGAAATGGACTGAGGGCTGGCAGCTCAGGGTCTGTCCTGCATCCCTCTCAGCTGGTAGCAGCTTTGGGTCTGGATGGGGGTTTTTGGATGTTCTTAATTTCGTCACTAATCTATAAGTGGTGGTCCAACTTTGTCCTTCATTTCTCCTCTCAGGGATGAGGTGCCGTGCCAGGACTGGGAGCCACTGGGCTAGTAGGCTGTCAGCCCCATTACACCAGTTCTGGCAGTGCTGGGAATCCCACCAGTGACTGGGAAATGCGTGGGGCTCCCTCTGGCTCCTGTTCCCTCAACCCAAAGGTAGGCTGAGGGCATCCCAAAGCTGTAGCTCCTTTAGCAGGTCTGCACAGGCACTACTGTCTCCCAGGTACTATTTAGGAGGTAGAGACCCTAGGGCTGCCCTGTGCAAGCAAGGTACAGAAGGAGATGGAAACAAAACAGCCAGGCTGGCTGCAGTACAGAACAAGAGGTTTTTCACATGTCTGGGACAGTGAATGACTGGAAATAGTTGGAAGAAAGGTGGGATTTGTGAGATGCAACAACTGCGTTGTGGGGCAGCCCTCCCTTGCAGCAGTCAAACTGAGCTCATTCACAAGGAGTCTGAAGGGCTGCAGGAGAGGAAAGCCCCAACTGTGCTCTGTGCCCAATGGTCGATTCATACAGGCCAGAATTTCCCTGTCTTGTGCCAGTTTGGAGCAAGACTATGAGAACTCTGTCTCCTTGCCCTGCTGCAGGTAGAGCTTGGCATGCCTGCCTGAGGAGGCAGGGCGTTGGGCAGGGAAGGTTGGGCCTTGGCAAACTGGGCATGGTTCAGGTGTTTGCCTTCCTCCTGGATTGGCCACGGGGAGAAGAACTTGGCCTTATATGGTCAAAAAAAAGCCTATGCCGGCGGTGCTCCTCCCTGTGAAGAGACACGTGGAGAGGTGTGGATGGGCCGATGGGGTCGGGCGTGTTTTCCTCCATCCTCCCCTGCCCTCCCCTCCCTTCTCCAGATACCCTGGAGACAATTATGGCATTTGGTTTGCAGCCCAAACGTGGCTGATTGCTGGGGCTTGCAAAAAGGCCGCTTCCCTCAGCGGGTGCTGCTGGTTTTGTGTGCCCCCAAGAGCTGAGGGGTGATGGATGGGCACAAAATGGTGCCTGTGGTCAGGGTTGAGTATTTCATCAGGCTCGGGCGTCTGGAAAGATGGTAGTAGTGGTACAAATCATTGCCTCTCTGCTGGTTAAATCTCTTTCCTGCTTGTTTAATTGCCTGTGGGAGTGTTTGGTTAGGAAAGCTAAACTATAGAACAGCCCCCCTCCCCAAAAAGAAACCACAGAAAGGCTTGATCCTGTCTTAGGTTGCAGACGAAGATGCATGGGAGAAACTGAGGCACAGTCCAAGATAATATAGGAAGAAATATCTGTCACAGCTCTTCTCTTTGCACAGGATTGAGGGAGTTCTATTTCCCAGTGGCTGGGTTCTTGGGCTGAGCCACTTCCAGCCCTGGCAATGACTGTGGCAATGCAGGCTGGGAGGTGAGCCTGAGGGATCTGTCGTTCTTCCCTTATCTTGCACCCTGTGTCTTGGAGTTGCTCCAGATGTGAGCTGGAACCAGGAGGAGCAGTTCTGGGTGAAGTGGGATGGGCAGATTAAAGTGGGCTGGAGGGTGCTTAGGGGTGGGTGCAGTGGGGGGCCCTACTGCAGCGGGACTCGGGAAAAGATGCAGTGGAAAGTCTGTAGAACTCTGGGGACATCTCTTATCCACCCCAGGAACGCATTTCCATCTCAGTTCCCACACATTTAATATTATGGAACGTGTGAAAGACTTTGCCATCCCTCTGGTACGAAGCATGAACCTCACTTGCACTGATGTCCCTCGTCTAAATTTCTTTGCACCTCTGAGCCTGGCTGCTTAATGTCCTGCATTGAGTCCAGGTCTGTGATATCTTTATTGGAGCCTCATAAAGCTCTCTTTGCTTCTCCTGAAGGAACGTGGCTGAATCTGGAGGGGGTAGAAATGTGTGAGAAGAAGCAGACAGCTGTCCAGCTGCAGGTGGGAGCCTGGTTCCTGCAAAGCAGGTGGGCTGAAGGTTGCACGTCCCATGGAAATCTTGCTTTAACTCTTTATAAAAAGTCATTTTAGTGATTACTGACGAGGTTTAGCCCCATGGCAGACCTCAGTGGCTCAATTTCCCTTCATAACCACTGTGATTCCCCCCACGAAGTGTCCAGGGAGAGATGTTCACCACGCTTTGTACTGTTTCTTGTAACCTGAGAGCTGTTGTTCTTCTCCTGGGAGGCTGGGCTTGCTGGAAGGAAAAAAAGGAGAGAGTTGTTCGGCTGTTGCAGTGCTTGGAAGCCTCTGAGTCCTTTGGAAGCTCTTGCAATGGTATCACCTGCCCAGGAGAGGGAGCCTGGAGCTCACACTTGGGTGCTCCCCAGCCCAGGAGGCAGCGGCTCAGGCACGCGGTGCCCTTAGATGTGGTCTGGGGCTCAGGCACTGCCCGGGTGGAAAACAGCAGAGGAGCCCTGTTTCTTCCCTCTGTCTGCTCCAGCTTGTCTCCTGGACTCTGTCCCAATTGCTGTTGTGCAGATGCAGATATTTGCCTGCTGATCCTCCCTGCCAGAGTCTGCACCACCAGCACTGGCTCTGCTCCTGCTTTCAGCGCACGGCTTTATCAATCCCTGGGTTTTTCCCCTGGGCTTTGTGTCACAACTGGGCCATGTCCTGGACATCTGATGTCTCCTTCCCCTGTGCTGGAGTAGGCACTTCGATCTTTGGCCCCAGAGAGAGTTTGAGATCATCTTTGGGAAACCTCTTGCTGTTGAAGTGATGTGGCTTTACCTGGATCAGCTGTGCTTTGGATTGTGCATACAGCTGGCCAACTAATGAGGTTGAGCTTGCCTTTTTTTCAGCAGCAGCTAAATCTGGTGGCCACAGCACTGACTGCTGTGCTAGCTCAGCTTTATTCCCCTTTTAGGGCTGTCTGCTGCCACCCCAAAGGGAATTGTGAGATCCTGAGTTGATGGTACTGCCCTGTATTCCTGCAGTATTCAAGAGTTGTGTTGTCCTTCACTGGGGAAAAAAAGCTAGCAGAACTTCCCCATGGAATTTAACAGCTGCTTTTGGGGTGCAGGCCATTTCTCTGCTGTAACAGGAATTAGCCCTAAGGAAGGGACTGGTCCTTTAGATAAAATCAGCACTTAAGGGATAGTATGGTGGAGGAGTAGGACTGGTAGATGCACAGATAGGGGTGTCCCAAAGGTATGGGGCCATCTTGGGCATTGCTCAGGTCCTGTCAGTGGAGTACAGGAATTATCCTGCTGCTTAGAATCGTTGCCTCAGTGCTCGGTAGCTTGATACTTTTCCCATTGTCAGGGGGAAACTGAGGCACACAGCAGTGAAGTGAGACTGTGAGATGGTAAGCTGGGGCTATCCTAACAGCTGCCCCTTTCCTACTCAAGTAGTCCTGCTTTTAGCCTGATGCTCTGGCCATAGGGTTCTTTCTCAATCTCCTGGGCAGTGGAGAGCTCAGAAACTGCAAAAAAAAAAAACAAAAAAAAAACCAACCAAACAAAAATCCATGACCCAGAAACATGAAAAGGAGAGAAAGCAGCTACAAACAGTCCCTGTACACGACTGAGCTGCTGCTGAGCTCCTGCCCTCCCCAGCCTTGCTATGAGCACGGTCCCAAACACCCCACCCTCCAGTTCTCCTGCATTGAGAGTGCTGAGCTCCCTTCTGCTCAGGTTTCACCCTGAACAACACCAGCTCTGTCTCCTTCCAGCCGTGCTCCCCGTGCCTCAACCCCACCCTGCCTTCCCACAGCCCTAGGCTGCTCAGAGCTCTCATTCATTCCTCTCCTGGGCTCTGTGCAGCTTTGCTGTCGCACGCTCTTGCACAAACCCAGCATTGTTCCTTCTCCTGGTCTGTGCTGGGTTCTGCCTCCAGGGGAAGCTCTGTGCTCAAGTTCCATCTCCTCCTGAGCTGGCAAGCTCACCCTACCATGGCTTTCCCCTCTCCCCACTCCTACTAGCCTGAGAAATTAAGAGCCCTTGCCTGTGCTATCAGCTGGTGTAACAACTGGGAGCTTTAGCTGTTAGACTGGAGCATCCTCCCTTCCTCTGATACGCTGACCCTGGAAGCAGAGCAGTTCTTTTTGTTAGGCAGCAAAGATGTTGTCCATCTCAGGTCCTCTCGCTCCTCTGGGGGCTTGTATGTTGTGGATATCCCATGTGAGCCATAGAATCATAGAATGCCTGGGGACCTTAAAGATCATGCAGTTCCAACCTTTTTACTGTTGGCATGACTTTCCCCTCTACCAGCTGCTCAGGTCCCCATCCATGGCCTTGAGCACCCCCAGGGATGAGGCATCCCTCAGCTTCTCTGAGCAGCAGTGCCGGGGCCTCATCCCCCTCAGCTGTGTATGTTCTTGAGCAAGGAGCAGCAGAAAACCACTGTGCTCTGAAGTGAGGGGCTGCATGGAAGTGTGGTTCCCTGGTGTAGAACTTGGCCCCAGCTGTGCAAAGGTTCTTTGCAGAGTTGCAGGGGGAACTGAGCAAGGAGAAGCTCAGAGCAGGGTTGGAGGAGCAGCTTGGTGCCCCTTGCAGAAACGCATCATCTCCTGAAAATGCTCTGTGCCCAGTGGGGAGCTCCCCAAAACTGTGGCTTCATATTTGCCATTCCAGCCCCATGCTCGTCTCCCTGAGGATCTGGACCAAGCAAAGTGTCTGAGAAGCGATTTCAGCTTTGTGTGGCTGTGAGGGATTAACCAGGGTTCTCAACCCTGGCAGCTGAGGAAGGAATTGCCATTTCAGGTGGGTTATGGTAGGAAATGCAGAGAAAACCATGAATGCAAGCTGTCCACGTGTCACTCAGTACTTTATTATAACTCTGGAGAGCAGGTGTGCTGGTTACGTAGATGCTACAGTCATTGTCTACCCTACAGAAACATGGAAACGCTGCGATGCACTCAATGGAGATGCACCATGAGAGTGATAGCAGCTCCTGTGAACTCAGGTGGGGCTACTTGGCAGTGATTGAGGTCAGAGCCTGGCCTCATGAAGGAAAATACTGCAGGGCTCTGCCTGTGTCAATGTATAAGAGGGACACAGCAGTGCCTGTACTGAGGCCAGGACTGCAGCTATAGAGTTGGCCCCAGAAGCTTTGGTGCAACGTAGCTGGTGTGCATGAGCTGGAGTCAGCCAGGTAAGATGAAAGCCACTACAGAAGTGCAATAAATACAAAGACAAGTCCTGCTTGTTTTAGTTAGATGGGAACCAGAGACCATCCCATTTCTAGGACCTAGCACCATTACATGTGAAGTCTGGAGTGCCTTTAGGGGCAACAGGCAGAGATGCTCTCTCTTAGAAAGAGGTGGCTTATCAAAATAAAAGCTGAAGGAGTTTTAGCTTTAGTGGCATGGGAAAGAATGAGGGGCCACCCAAAAGGCAGTTAAATTGGCTAAACGCTCTGAAGTAGGCAAGGATTCCCAAATAGAGCCAGCATGTTTGTCAGCAGACGTGCAAATACAGATGTCACAAATTCACCTGGCTCAGGTTGATTGCCCACATCTCCCCCAGCTCTGCTTGGAAGACTTGGAGCTGCCTTCCATTGAAAGCCACATCAGTGAGCACCTCTTGGACATGTACAGAACAGAGACAGATCAAAAAGAATGGTTTTGTAATACTGGTAAAGAGGCTGGGCTGATGGCTACTGTGTTAAGAGCTTGTGTAATAATACTTTCCCCTCCTGGCAAACTTCTATAGATAGATCTCAACGGTTATGAATGCAGGTCCTCTCTGGAAACAGACCTAGAGAGGAAGAAGATGTCAGTATGGTTTCATACAGGAGAAGTTCTAAAGTCCTGGGATGATTTCTGCTTGTAACTAGTAACAGAGATGTTAACTGGGATGCTGTGAAGATAAAAGGGACAGCATGGAGTGGATTCCCATCCTTCAGCCCTTGGACATTGGCTTGAGTTCAGGAAAAAGTGCTCTGGCCTCATTTGCCTCCAGGTGCCATTGGGTCTGGTTTGTGCTGCGTGGCTCCGTTTCTCCTAGGAGCATTCTTCAGTGAGCAGGGAGCTGAGCTTTGACCGGGCACTGCAGGTGTAGGGATCATCTTCAGGTGCTGCCAGGTTGTCACTGTGGCTTCTGGAGAGCAGAGATTTTGTGCAGCCTCCATTCAGCTTCATCTCACCATTGGCACTGCCTTTTCCCCTGGCAAACAGCTTGGAGTTCCTTAAGGCGCTGGCAGAAACTGCTGGGTGAGGGAAGATAAGAGGGGATGAGCTTAGAAATGTTTTATTTATGCTTCATTTCACCATTTTGTGTGAATAAAACCACTTACGGTGCTTTGGTCTGGAGTGGACGGTGCTGATGACTGTGGGTATCGGTGACTCCATGCTGTGAACATAAGGAGAGAATGTGAAGATGTGTGTTAACATCTGCAGTTCCAGAAAGGTGTGGAGGGCTGGAGTTTGGCTCATGAGAGCTGGGCTGCATAGGCAGAGCTAAAAGCATGGTTGGGTTGGGAAGGCTGACTCAACAGCATCTGGGCAAAGCAGTGTTAGAGAAGTGCTGGTGCTTTTCAGTCTGAAGGGTTTAAGGAAAAGTTCAGAGCAAAAGACAGGGCTGAGCTGTATGGGGACTTCTGGGATTTGCTCTTTCTTTAATCAATCCTTCAACAGCAGACTCAAAGCATGGGGTGTCTGCTTTCTCCCTAGGTGTTTGGTGCATCCCTCCCACTGCTCCGGCGCAGAGAAGCCCACCTCACCTGCTTTCCTCTCCTTCCACCAGCTTCCTGTAAGTGAGGATCTCCAAATCCAGGGCCAGCTTGATGTTCATCAGCTCCTGATACTCTTTCACCAGGTGAGCCATATCCTCCTTGCTCTTCTGTAGGGCTTCTTCTAGCTTGACCAGTTTGGCTTTGGCATCCTTGAGGGCCGTCTCACCATGCTCTCCTGCTTCTTTGATGTTCTCCTCTAAGTACAAGCACTGGTGTTACAGAAGGAGAGAAAGCAACAGGAGCGTTAGGTGTGTTGTAGTTTCAGATCTGCCTGTCAGAGCTTTGTCACTCACCCCAGGACACACCTGGCTTTTTTGGGACACGATGCAGGACCTCAGCTTCTGGATTTGGATGTTCAGGTCTGCAATCTCCCGTCGGCTGTCAAGGAGGTGACCCCCATAGGTGGCTGACTGGGTGTTCCCTTCTTTCAGCTGCAGGGAAGATGAAAGCACGTGTTATCTCTTGCTCCTTTGCTGTAGCGAAGGAATCTAGTAAGTTTCCCACTGCCCCTGGGGAGAAATGCCTAAATAGAGGAAGAAGTAGCTGGTATGTGGAAGGATTTAGGACTCGTTCTTATAGTGTCTTCTAGTATTGTAGGAACACACTGTCCATTAGTGTTCACCACATTCTTGCTCTGTTTGGAGGAGGTACCAGAGAAAAAACATTTGCATCCTAAGTGGGCCAAGTTACCACTAGACAATGATCTTGCCTTCCTCAGTTGGCAGTGTGGAGAGCCTCAGGCTGTGAAACTCCTGATTTACACACATGAGTTAGAAGGGATTGATCTAGGTTAGCACCCTGTCCCTCCTTCCATTCCCAGGTGTGGTGTCTCTCCACATCTTGCTGAGTCTTGTAGTTTCTTTTTCCCTCTTCTCTCCCTCCTCTCCCCATACCAATCAGATAAGGGACATACCTTCCTCCTGGTAAGTGCTTCAGCCTCCTCCCAGCTCCGAAGTGCCAGGGCTTCATACTGAGACCTCACTTCTTCCACAATCCTGCTCAGGTCAAGCTTGCATGTGTTGTCAATTCCCAGTACAACAGAAATGTCCTTAATTTCTGTCAGCAGCTCCTCGAGTTCCTGAATAGCAGAGAATAGAGGTATCAAGTGTTGAACAAAGCTACTTGCCACAAGAGAGCTGAACTCTGGCAGATCTGATGTTCTGAGCCAGGCAAAGTGCCTTCCTGATATGCAGTGTGTGGATGGGGAGACTTTGTAGGTTTTTATTCTCTTAAATTCTGAATCTGGTATTTTTTTCCCCTTAAATTCAGGCTCAGGCTATGGTATGGATTTAGGACCTTTGGGTAACATATGTTACTTGTCCAACAAAATGGTGTATTTGCACTTCATCAAAAGCAGGTTAATTGCAGGTGATGCTTCAGTATCTATTGCTGTTCAGATGGTGAGCATATCTGTGCAGGGCAAGAAATAGGGTGTTGTTAGTGGTTCTGCTCCTAGTGCTTCCAGAAAGATGCCTTTACTCAGCTCTGCTTCAGTATCTACGGAGGCAGGGACTGCCACTTCTGTTGTTACAATCTGCTTTGTGTCTAGGAAGATAAGGGAGAATGAAGACCCTTCTCTGAACACATCCATAGTGGGCAGAGCTGCTTCTGTATGCTGGAGAAACTCAAACCAGCCCTGGGGGGTGACAAACAGGCATGCACAAGCTGTGCTATCACTGACTCGAGTATTTACTCTTGATAGCTGACTCGGTCACAAAAGGAGTCAGACAGTGATGAATGCAGTGAACCTAAAAAAGACCCTTCATCTATGCCCGTAAACTGCACTGCTGGGTAGTTTGTATCCTGACAAGACAGGACCTGATGCCTTGCACCAAGCAGGTACTGTACACGTTCACTTGGCAGCTCCCCCAGCCCCAGACTGCTCCAGCAAAGGTTCACCCCTATCAGTTTCACTGCAGTTTCTTCTGATTTGCACCAGTGTGAATGGGAGCAGCATACACCTCTCCCCATCTTTGCTTTCATCTCAGTGTTTTTTGTTCTTCCCTTTTGTACAGCTGCCTCTAATCTCTTAGATAAACACCTGTATGCCTTGTTTGCCTTCCCTTCCCCTGACTGGGAGACAAAGAGCACCCTGATGTGGTGATTCGTGAGGAAAAGGTACCCCACTGATTTTACAGAGAATTGGATTATCAGTATTTTTCCTAGCTGTTATTAAATCCTTGTGCTTCCTTGTTAATGCTTGAGCATGGCAGTAGCTATATGAGAAAACTCACGTGTGTTGCTAAAAAGAAAAGGGGAAAAAAGATAAAGAGGACTGAAGCTGGGGTGCTTTTCTGATTCATACTGACATGCTGTGTGCAAATCTGTCCCACACTTCCCCCTGCATTCGCCCTTCTGCTGGATATGCGTGCCCATGCATTGATGGCAGTCAAAGCAATTGATGCAGGTGAGGAAATGACTGATGCGAAAATCAGCTTTGGAGGGGAGGGAGGGAGAGGTGGGAGGTGATTTCTTTCCATGGAGGATGTGTTTAGAGATAGTGCAGGCTGCTGCTAAGAACAGCAATATTGGACCTAGAAGAAATCAGACCTGGAAGATGGAAGCATCCTGGTATTGTGTGTAGGATCTGATATCCCACTGCTCCTGAAAACTGCTTTGCACCAGGAGTGATCATTTTAGAGAAATCCAGGCCTCGTGCTTGGAGGTGTTCTAGCACAGTTCTGTTAGTGGGCAGGTCATTCTGCTTCTCCCTGCCTCAGTTTCCCCACAAAAGGCAGTAGCACTCCTCTGCCAAGCATTCTAATTGTTTGTATTGGTAGAATTCTGACAAACCATTAGTATTCCCCAAACACTGCCAAGCCTGCTTGGTAGCATTTTACAGGCTCTGAGTAAGTGGCTGAAATCACATCGCTGTGTTTGAGGAGATGCAGGCATGCTGCACCCTTTGGGCTTATTTAGATGCAGTATCCTTCCTGCCCTTGGTGAAGTAATCTCAGTTTGGTGCAAATTGGGAACAAAGCCCTCTCTGTATTGGAGCTATCTGCAAGAAAAAAAGCCCTTTTTTTTTTTTTGTTTGGCCTTGCCTGTGTGCCAAGGCCAGCCTCCCAGCTGCATTCCTACCTGCTCATAGATGGTTTTCTTCAGGTCCATCAGCTCTTGGAGCCCGCTGAGTTTCACCTCCAGCTCCGTTCTATGCAAGGTACTGGCATCTAAATCCTGCAAAAGATGTATTAACAAACAGCTTGAGTGTATGAATGAATAACTGGAGAAGTCCTTGCTGCTGCCCCATCATCTTGGTTTGGGGCATCATCAGGCTTGGGGCGGTGTGGCTGGAGGACTGCGTAGAGGAAATGGACCTGGGGGTATTGATTGATGCTCGGCTGAACATGAGCCGACAGTGTGCCCAGGTGGCCAAGAAGGCCAATGGCATCCTGGCTTGCATCAGAAACAGTGTTGCAAGCAGGAGCAGAGAGGTGATTGTTCCCCTATATTCAGCACTCGTGAGGCCGCACCTCGAGTACTGTGTCCAGTTTTGGGCCCCTCACTGCAAGAAAGATATTGAGGCCCTGGAACGTGTTCAAAGAAGGGCAACAAAGCTGGTGAGGGGTCTGGAACACAGGGCTGATGAGGAGAGGCTGAAGGAGCTGGGAATGTTCAGCCTGGAGAAGAGGAGGCTCAGGGGAGACCTTATTGCTCTCTATAACTTCCTGAAGGGAGGTTGTAGTGAGCTGGGGGTCGGCCTCTGCTCTCGTGTCATTAGTGATAGGACCAGGGGGAATGGTTTCAAGCTACGGCAGGGGAGATTCAGGCTGGACATGAGGAAGTATTACTTTTCAGAAAGGGTGGTCAGGCACTGGAATGGATGCCCAGGGAGGTGGTGGAGTCACCGAGCCTGGGGGTGTTCAAGGAAAGACTGGATGTTGTGTTGAGGGACATGGTTTAGTAGGAGCTATTGGGAATAGGTGAACGGTTGGACTGGGTGATCTTTTAGGTCTTTTCCAACCTTAGTGATTCTATGATTCTATGATCTTCAGCAACGTTCTGCTTGCTGTGTTGTGCCTGGCACACATGGAGCTGCTCTACGAGCACAGAAGCTCCTGTGTGATTTCAGCTCTGCACTCTTTGTTTCACTGGTTGTTTTTGCTTTTTCTTCTTTTTTTCTTTCTTCTTTTTCCCCTTAGGTGAGAGCTTAGGTGCAAGTCTGCAATGGAAGGGTGGAGAAGGAAACAGGCAGGGCTGGTCCATACCCACTCATCTTTTGTTCACCACAGAAAGCAAGGGTTATTGAAAACTGATGCTGTCCACAGAAGTCACCAGAACTGCCCCTACTGGCTGATGGCTGCGTCAGGGAAAACATGCAATTAGCCATAATGATCATTTGTGGAGAACATTTCCTCTGCCTAATAATATCCTGCATTCCTACACCTTGGATTATTATTATTTTTTTTAATATAACGACCGTGCACAAAGCCTTCCATTTGAGCTGATATTCAAATGCAGCTCCTCCTGGGACGGGATGTTTGTGCAGGGTGTGGCTGTGCAATGTTTTGTGGAAACAAAAGCAAACACATTTATCAATTTCCAGCCTTTCCCAACCCGTGCTGTCATTCAGAGAGAGTGCACAAAGGAGAAGGAGAGGATTGCCTTGCAGGGTTCTGAGGTGCAGTGTGGCTCTGCCTGACCCCTGTGCTCCTGCCATGAGCCATGGGGCTTTTCTGTAACCACAAGTGGCCCGGATTCCCTTATACTCTCCCTGTTGAAATGGTGACCTTGTTTACCGCGCTGCTGTCTTCCTCAAGGCCTTACTGCCCTACAAAACCTCTGTGGTTTGAGGGCTCTCGTGCTTCTGGGCAGCTCTGGACTCTCCTGACTGATCCTGGACCACGCTGCCTCTCTCAGGCTGTTCTGTGACTGCAGGGCTGGTGTACAGACCATACAGATGCAAAGCTCCTCTTGTCACTCACCTTCTTGAGCTCCATGAAGGTGTATTCCATGCCGCTGCAGAGGCGAATCTCATCCTCATATCTAAAGAGAGGAGGGAAAAAAGCAGACAGAAATTGCACAAGCCGATCAGATGCTTCAGATTGTCTCGTTGGCCCCCAAAAAAGCATTGGCATATAGGCTTTCTGCTTTTACCATCTCATCCTATTTCCTTCAGAAGGTGCGAGATATCTTAGATGTGAACGTCTGGACAGGAGAGAGGGCAACAAGCTCCCACGTGCCAGCTAACACCATTAGCACCTTCAGCCTGAAAAACCCCAGAGTACAGAGCAGGTAGCTTTAACACAAATTTAATTTGAGGGCTAAGCAACCTCAGGATACCTCACAGTCACCACAGAGAGAGAGCAGGCACTGTGAATTGAGGTATGGTGAATTGTTCTCTGTGAAGCCCAGGTTCTCACCCCAACTCTTTTTTTCTCTTTCAGATATCCTCAGCATTTAGTTTCCAATGTCCGAAAAGCTTCTCAAAGGAGGAAGCTTTGGAATGTGTAAAATCAAGAAAACAGACTGCATCATGGCCTATCTTAAATGTAAGCACAATTTATGGAGGAACAGAGGTTGTGATAAAGCATTTCATTGAAAACATTGCCTGCAGAGCAAAAGGTAACAAAAGCCAGATGGGACAGGGTGGAGTGCTAATATCCAGCAAAGGAACCAACCCTGAAGGTGTTTAGAAACAGGTTTGATAAGGACTAGGACAGCAAAGACTTGGTCCAAGGGCAAGCATGTTTCCTGAAGGCTGGCAACAGAGCCAGGAGGACAGTTCAGGGAATACACCAGCCCTTTGGGACACAGAGTCTCTTTTGGGCTAGATCTGTGACCAGCAGGTTGGTTGACTGGCTGTGCAGATACCAGGAATTTTGTGTGATGGGTGCAGGGTGCACTATAGGAATGCTGGTTCTGCTGAGAATGGAGGAGGTGGTTCTCTTAGAGAAGCCCTAGCTTCCCTGCTCTTCTGTGACACCTCCAGCTCCTCTTACCCAGATGTGCTCAGAGTGTTTCCAGGCTGGGAATTAAATCTTTGAGTGCTACTTAAAGATGTCATCAAATTGGTATGGGGAAGGCTGAGACATTTAGGAATCAGGTGAAATGGCATCTCCTAACAGAGAGATGATAATGAAATCAGGAATGGCAGCCATTCCATGGGCAGACAGAGATGGGACAAAGTGGGAATAGCTTTAAACTAAAAGAAGGGAGGATGAGATAGGATATAAGGGGCAAATTCTTTACTCAAAAGAGGCTAAGGCCGTGGCAGTGCTGCCCAGAGAAGTGGGGGTGCCCCTGAAGGGGCTCAGTGCCATGGATGGGGCCCTGGGCAGTTGATGGAGGGGTGGGAGCAGCCCAGGGCAGGGAGTGGGGCTGGGGGAGGCTTAGAGTCCCTTCCAACCCAAACCACTCTATGATTCTATGCTTGATTCTGTTCTTTGGCGGTCAGGTGTGCATCACTCCAGTTAGAAGTGAGCCTTCTCTGCTGCTTCCTTACCAGAAAGAGGGGCTGAGCGTAGGGGCGGAGAGAGGAACAAGCATTGGGAATGCAGCCAGGAGATTCGCAGGGCAAAAGGGATACATCCTGTTCAGGAGCTGATCTGGAATGTCAGAAACATCTCCCTTGAACTGTTGCTTTCTCCACAGAGGGGACAGTGAGGGCACAGAAGGGTCTGACTGTCACAGGTCCTACAGTTGGGCACTTCTGAGGTTCCCCTTAGGTACCCCATGGTGTTAAACTCACCCTCTCTTTGCCTGTTCTTATAAGGCTAGGCAGCTAGCAAGATTTACCTGTCTGGTTTTTCTGCTCCGTAGCTGGAATGTTAGCTGTGTTGCCAGTAACTATGTACCGAGCTTAATTACAGCCTGCCACTCTTCCTTCATCCTCATTGCATCTCAGCCCAATCCCAGTCTGTCCCAGCCTGCCAAAGCAGCTTCAACGCATTGCCAGGCGCTGACATAATCTCCCATGTGGAGCAAACAACGCTCCTGACTGAAAGGGGAGCAGGCCAAGCCAGCCCGACGCGCTCACCGCACGGCTCCAGAAGGACCTGGCAGCCAGGAGGTGACTCACATGGAGATGGAGCCTTCTACAAACACATCACAGCATTTATCTCCTTCAAGGTAATCCTCAAGCAATCATGCATGAAGGTATAAATCCATCCTATGTCGCTTTAACAGCACTCGAGATGGGCGTCTGGTCGCCTTGGGCTCCTTCTGGAGTCAGTGGAACAAAATCAGAGTTGAGCTGAATCTCAGGCAGGCTACATGTCTCTCTGGATGTACCTTCAAGGCTATCTTAGGGTAAAGATACAGTGGTGGGATGATCTGAGCCCAGCAGCATCAAGCTACATCACTGTGTCTCCTGCAGAGCAAGAAAATGGGGTAGGGAGCAGCTGAAAACCAGCTGTAAAGATTGAAGGTGGAGGAGTGCTGACTGACAGCGTTCAAGGGGAAAACCTGATTATCACAAACTCTGACTTTTAGACCTGGCCCCTCTGAATGTTGTTAACTCTGTATTTTCCTGCAGTATTTCTCCAGTCCCATCCCAGAGTTGCTCAGCATGCAAAAACTCTGTGCCTTCTCATTCAAATGGATTTTTGCATGTGCAAATTGCCCATGGGGAGCTGAAGCAAACTCTGGGCAGTCACCCCTACCTGAGTATGTTTCAGTTTTGGCACGATTTCCTAAAGAAGCAGCATTTGAGACCCTGTGTCAGACTTTAACCCTCTCCCTTGTCCCCTCTCCATCCTCTTCTGTCTTTGGAGCCATGACAACAGATAGCAGCGCTGCTCAATGGCAACCAAAGGAGGTTGGAAGAAGTGGAAGCATCCCAGCTAGCTAAGTCTCCTATGTGTTTTTTGCAAAGCTGTCCCTGAACAGAGGGAAAAAAAGACAAATTGGAGTCTTTCTGAGGATACTGACAGGCAGATTTTACATGTGAGCTGTTGGGCAGCAGCTTGCTTGCCTGGCCACTGAGTGCACAGTGCTCTATGGAGGTGCCACAGCAAGGACAAGTGGATACCCATTTAAAATTGGTAGTGGAATTCCTGCCTTTTGCTTTTCCCAAAATATTTCCCCTGGGAAAACAAACCTCTGCAGGAGCTGGAAACCTCCAAAATTTGCATGGATTAAGCAGCCCATTTACTCCACGGAAAAAAACAACCGGGCAGAGGCAGTCTTCTTGACTTGCAGGACTCAACAGAGCTGGTGTGGGTTAGCATGGGGCTGGAGCATTGCCCTGGGAAGCTCAGCAGAAGTAGCAGTGCTCTCCCCATGGATCACCAATGGCTGCAGGCAGCACGGTGGGCTTTTGCTGTGGCAGAAATCCACCTGGATTTCTGCTGCCTGATAATACTGTGCGTGTTTGTATGCTGTGTTTTTATCCCCTGTGTGCAGGGATGTGGGCCCTGTTCCTCAAAGCAGTTATGATTTCTGGATTTCTAGCAGCGTAGCATCTCTGCCTCTTCTGCTCCTCTGTCCAGCTAGGCTTAAACTGTCCAAGATCTCTGGAGGTCCCTTCCAACCCCTACAATTCTGTGATTCTGTGATTGAATATTAGGGGGAAATACACAGCTTGTTTGTATAAATACCTCTGCCCTTAAGAAATCGGGTTGAGAAATAACAATATTAATTGCCAGATGTGGGCAATTAGTAAGTTAATTTGAGTACAAATAGAAGGACAGACTGGGAGAGCAGATGGATTTGGCTGATCTGATGTCTCTCCACAAGCCTGCCTGTTTTTCTGACTTACAGAATAAACCAAGAAGTGTCTCTGTAAGTACAGAGCCATTGCTTCCTGGGGATGCTCAAGGAGGAGCAGGAGCTCCACAGAGGTATGGAGGTCTTAAAGCCTTTTAGGATAGGGAGTAAATGGTACAGTCCCTATAAGGTCTTTGATCAAAGTTCAGGGTTGCTGTCTGTCAGCAAAGCAAGCATCAGTGATTCCAGGTCTTTAAGTGAAACCAGCATCTCAAAGCAGGAGCACTCACCACAAGGAATTTAGTGCATCATTTCTAGAAGGAGGCTGAGCATAAGCGCTTTCAGCATAAGGTCAGGAACCAAACTCCTAATTCCATGTCCTGCTCTGCCATCAGCTTGAGTAAATTTAAGTGCTGCCCTGTTCTATCGGTCCATAAGGTCCTTCTGGATACCTTTATGGAAGTATCAGTCTTTCCCCTGATCTGCAGACGTGTTGAGCAGCTGGTTTAATCAAAGCCTGCAAAGATCACTGAGATCCTTGGGCTAAGCTCTCTGGAGAAGGGTGCTGTCATTATTCACACATCACATCATGCATCAGGAAGAGGTGTGGGCTGTTATTTCAGATGTCTGTCAATGCCAGCAGAGGGGTTGGCCCTCAGCTTTGTTGTTCTGTTTTGACAGTGCCCACAGGTGGGTCCTCCTCACTGCAAATCAGCATGAAAGTTACCAGAGATCCTGTGTAGGCAAATGGGTGTAACTGGAAGGGAAAGTATCTAATTGTGGATTCATCTGTGTGGTATGCAAATAACACCGATAATAAGGAAAGCATTGTTTTCTTAAATGAGCCGTGGTGCATCTCAGATGTTATCTGAGGATCTCAAAGCTGTTGACAAAAGCAGCAAGAAGCCCTCTGCAGCCAGTCCTCTCAAACTATCATCTGCCTCAATAAGTTCTGTCCAGAGGTTTAGGTTAGGGTTGGGTTAGAATTTAACCTTTTGGTGAAAACAGAACTTTGCTTTAATTTCTGGGGGGAGAAGGAGGAAAAGAGAGGCAGTTTGTTAATGCTAAGGGGCCCAAATCCATAGATGGGTCTGGGGAGAAAGCTTTGGTTTGTGATAACAGCGTGGGGGATAACTAATTCTTTGTTTTATTGGCTATCATTCCTGGTAGTATTGTTTCCTGTGCTCTGACCTCAGATGCCCCCATACTTTCTATAGGTTACTTTCATCTCTAGTTAGGAAGAGGGTAGGAAACCAACTTCTCAAACACGCTGTCCTCTTTTTCTCTGGGAACAGCAGTCACTGCTTTCAATCAGTGCCACACTGCTCCTTGTCCCACAGCTTAACCAGCATCTTGCAAACTTTCCCCCCTCATACATGGAGCCACGTTGGACACCTACTTGCTTCGGAAGTTATCCATGGTGCTCAGGACCTCTGTCAACTCCGACTCGAGATTTTCCTGCTCATAGTTGAGTGCCTGCATCTCTTGATTCATTTTGCTCATGTACTGATCGTAAATGGCCTTCATGTCTGATTCGGAGTGGGAATTGTCTTGATCCTTCAGGAAGTTCCACCGTGTCGTCAGGATCTTGTTCTGTTGCTCCAAGCGTTGGACCTGATAAAGAGATTGCAGAGACCTCAGTAATTCTGACAGCTCAGCAAAATGCCTCTGGTCTGGAGACCTCTGCAGCAATGAAATGTTGCTGAGCTTAGCTGAGATCTCCGGGTAAGAGCAAAAAATCCCCTGAAGATCCAGAGCAGAGGATGAATACAGGGGCTACAAAGGTTTTATGCATTTCATGCTGCTTAATTTCTTAACAGATCACATTCATGTGAAAATGAAGAAGCATCTCATGTTAAGTCACTGAAAAAATAAAAGCTGATCTACACTGGTCCCCTTTGCCTCCAAATATATTGAGATAAAGGCTGAAAACCCACTATGGCTCAAGCCCAGGTGTCTGGGGTGAATTGAATTCTGATTTACTGCCTCAGAGTGGCACAAATCACTCCCCTCTAATCTGTAGGATTGCACCATGGTGAAGCCTGAGCAATGAATCACAGTCTTGGTTTGTATTGCAAAGCATTGTAGACGAGAACTGTGGGAGCTCTACAGAATAACTGAAATAATGAGTCTCTGTGTGAGGTCTCAGAGTGCCTATCTGCTAAGAGAGGATACGTTGCATTCTCATCCACCCACTATCCAAATCTGACACTCTTCTTTCCTGATGCTCTCCATTCTGAAGAATCACACTGAGCGTTCAACAGTTTTCACGTTCAAAGCTCTTGACTAATGTTAATTAATTATTTAATCATCACCTCTCCTCATTGCTCTGTGAGGGAAACCAAACTCCCTCCGACACATTTTGGCTGCGAGCTCCAAGCTGTCAATTGCCTTAACTCTGTCCTGGAGATGATTCAATGCTGATATGAGTTCCTCTGTGCTATGAAGAAGATGCAGCATCACCAGTACACTGTATAGTGAGAAATGGGGTACAAGGGCTATCAGGCCTCGATCTCCTCCTTGGACTTCAGTTTTGGCCAGGAGAGCAGCAGTGAATCGGTGAGACAGAGTGCTCAGGTCTGAGCACTGCACAAATATGGAAGGGATTCCCAGCTTCTCATCTGAGCAGAGGGCAGCCAAGCAAAGCAGCAGTGCTCGGATGCTTATAGTTGAGTGTGTGTGTGTGTGTTAAGGTCTTCTAAGTCTTGCTGTTGGAGACCTACTCCTTCCTTACAGCATAACACGTGTCCATAGACATCAAGTTGGGAGTTTGGTGACTGGCTGCTTTGTCCTGGCACAAAAGCAGCATCGTGCTGTGTGTGCGCGCATGCGTGAGGCCAGGCAGCTCAGTGGCATGAGGAAGTGGCCACTGGGGCTACCAGTAACCAATTGGGCCATTTGTTCTCTCCATCTGAGGCATCTCCAGGATTGCACAGCGGGACTGTGGTCAGTGGGGCTGGGATCAAACTGTGGGGTTGGATGTAGAGAACAGCCTCTCATTTTATGGCAGCTTTCCCATTTGCTGCTAGAATAGTCAATGTTTGCATTGGCTGCTGTTCCAAGTCTCTCCCTGACCCTCAGATGAAGTCTTGGTTCCTGACTTTGCTCCTGATGGTTTGTTGCTCTTTTTTCTCTACCTAAATCTTTAGTTTTTACCCTCTTCCCAAACCATACCCACCCACCAGGCTGAACTGCTTTCATCCTGTCATCTTGCGTGGCATCCCACTTCAGCAGAAATCCTTTGTAAAGTCATGAAATGTGAGCTTTGTAGCAGAATCGCTCAAATCGAGCCTCATTTCCTGGAAGAACAAATACAGAAGTGACCAAAGCTTGGACCTTGGAAACCTCTGCATCTGAGCTGCTCAGGGTGAAGGTAGAGCTTCAGGCAGGGGTTCCATCACTTGGCTGTTGACTGTCTCCCACTTGCACATACCTGGATCAGATGAAAAGACAATACTAGCAGATCTGGAACAGCCTGCTGGAAACCCTTAACAGCAAACTCCTGCAGTTATTGTTGTCAATTATCCGAGGAATTAGCAGCTCAGGCTTCAGACCATCTGAATTCCTGATTAAAAAGACAAATTCTCTGCAACGAGGAAGTGTCATTAACTTTCTTCTGGAATGAAAGCCTGAGGCAGGTGGCTGAAATTTCCCACTTATGTACCACTTGAAGCTGCAGCCTTCAAAGCTAACTGCAGAAGCTGCAGGTGCTGAAGTCAAAGCCACTTAACTAAGGAGGCTTATTTGTATCTTCTGTCCATCAGGCCCTGTAATGCACACTTATCAGCAGGTCACCAGGTTGGGTTTATCAGGAAATCTAGAGGCTGTCACTTCTTCCATCTCCATCTGTGTGGAACAGGCTGGTGCCTGTGGTCAGGCTCACGTACATTCTGTTACTGTGTGGGCTTCTCTCATCTCCCCTGCCCCCATCCTCTCACCCAAGGTCTGGTTTCTGATCAGGGTTCAGTACACACACACACACAACCCTCAGCCTCGTGTTCTGGGTGGTTGAAGGACCAGGGCTGTAGCACATGCAACACATCACTCTCCAGGTGATTTCCAAACCACTTGTTCTCCAAATCCAGGCCAAGATCAGCGCTTAGGAAAGCAGAGCTGCAAAGGCTGCTATGTTCCTCCGTGCGGGGTCAGCCCCTGGCACTGCTGTACACTGTTGGCACGTGGAGATGTGGTGGGTGCACAGCTCTTCGTTGGGATGGATACTGGGAGAGGTGGATCCCCACTCCCTCCTTTCCAGCATGAGGTCAGGTCCTTTTAGAGATTGACTTAAAGATAATAGTACTGAAAAAAAATAAAATAAAATCCCAAGCTGTAGTAGCTTGGCATTGAGTGCCGGTATTGTAGACTGCAGTGAAGCAATCCTAGGAGATTACCATCTGTTTACAGAGCACCAGGGCTTTGCAGAAACCTGCCTTTGCTGGATGAGTTGTTTTCCTTTGAGAAAAATCTTCTGCCTTCTCATGGCTCTTTTAAGAGATGAAAGCGACACTTTCTTGGCTGAGCGTGCAACCCCTCGTAGTGCAAACCGCAGAGGAGGGAGGTGGGTGGGGGGTATCCCTTGCCCACCACGGAGCTACAAAGATGAATTTCCAGCTGTCTCTCTGCAGCCAGGGAGGAATTTGAGCAGCCACTGTAGTCAGCATTACTGCCCATGGCCATAAGTCCATTGCACACCAAGGCCTGCTCCATCCATGTCCCTGCTGCCCAGGCAGGAAGGTCTCTGTCCCTGCTGTGCTGACCAACACAGCACAGGAGAGGCATGAGCTGCTGACCACAGCCGTGGCCCAGCTTCACCTAGAGGTTATGGTAGCCCTTGTGCTAAGAGATAGCACTGAAGAAATATCTAATTGGGTAATTAGTCTCACATTCGGAGCCTGGCAGTGGTTCACTGGAGGCCTTCATGAGCCTCATGGCAGTGTCTGCATCCACTTCCCCACCACCACCACCACCAGCATCCCCATCCCCACAGCAGCTCCCCTTACCTTCTCAATCAGGGTCACAAACTGGTTGTTGAGCAGCTTGATGTCCTCCTTCTCCTGCTCTCGCACAGCATGAAAGTCGGTGTCGATGTCAAGATGCACGGGAGGCAGGAGCCTGCCATCAATGGAGAGGTAAGAGGAACTCTGGTACCCACCATCTCCATGAAGGGCCCCACAGCTGGGGCTGCTCACACTGCTGGGACTGCAGCGGCCCAGGCTCTCCGGGGACATGCTGCCTGCTCTGCCTTGGCTCATTCCCCCTGATGCCTCCCAGGAGCAGAGGGAGCCACTGCTGAAGGCTTTGCAGGGGTTAGTCATGCTCAGCTCGTGGCTCTGCAGCTGAAGGGGAGGAGAAAGGAAGTAGAGAAAGAAAAAAGAAAAAAAAAAAAAAAAAGAGGTGAAGTTTTCTTGCTGTTACTGCCTCAAAGGGAAGGAGAGCAGTGGCACGCTGAGCAGCTTGGGCAGCTAATTCCTGTCTCCTCAGCTCGTGGGTTGGCTAATAAATTACAAGCACCTGTTCTCCTATGTTCATTAAACGGAGGAGGGTGTAACCGTTGATGTAATCCAGATCAACCTGTTGGCTTCTTTTTTTTTTTTTTTTTTCTTCTTCCCTCTCTCTGTACCCTCCTTTCTTCAGGAGCTTGTTTGTGTGGTGAAGGCATAGGCATTCACAGCAAAAACAAATCACTCCCAGGTAATTCGCTGGGCCCTGAGCAGCTGCTTTCCTCATCCTTAAATGGTGAAGAAAGCAAGCAAAGGAGCTGGGCTGCAGCAGGCAGGGAGCGCAGCGCTGAGTAGGGCTGCAAGCATGCACCTGGGTCATGGAGTCTGGGCTCAGCCCTCTTGGGTTTCCAGCCAAAGGAATTGTGGCTTTTTTTTTTTTGCTAATAGAATGAAAGAGCTAAGGAAATCATAAAGGAAGGCTCTGAGTTTGCTAAGGGTGGGTGTTTGGAGAATGCTTTGTGAGCTCGTTGGGTTAGAGGTGTTGGTGGTTGACCACAGAGAAACTCCTGATGCTCTGAGTGTTTGGATACGGTGGGTCTGCTTTTGGGACCCCTTAGTGAGTTGAGGTTATTTGGTCCAACAGAAACGTAGGCGTTCAAAATAGATGCCAAATTGGATCCCAGAAGTGTCTGTGCCCCTCTGACACCTGCGTGTCCCAAAAGCCCTTTAAAAGCAAACTCTGGAGACACCAAAAACCACTCTCTTTTAATAAATTCTAGCCTGCCAAGGTGGCACGCCCTGAACTACTTGTTTGGACCTAGGAATAAACCAGCATTGGACACTGCTCTCTTGAAAGTGTTGGAAGTGTTTTTCAGCTTTAACGCAGTTTCTCGTGTGAAAAACGAGGACAGAACACCTACTTCTGCTTCCTTTGCTTTATTAACATTGTGATGCTTTCAGAAAAGGGGATGGTCTTCTCTGGCCGAAAGGTGGAATTTCCATTCTGTGGGAAAGCTGCTGCTTTACAGGCTGGTTGGAAGGTGAGCTGGGAATTTCCCCACCGAGTGAAGTGGGAGAAAGCTTGGGTCTGTCGCAGACTTGCTCCAACAAGAACTGTGTCTGATGGGGGTGTAGTTTCGGTCTTGTAGAAGACTTCATAAAGAAGCTGACCCATTCCAGTAGGATTTAACCTTTCTTCAAGCACAGTTTTGGTGTTTGGCCAAGGACAACGTCCTCTGCCCAGCGGCGCGTCCGTCTGACGCTTCCTTGGCTGATCCATTTGAATATCGAGTCCCTCACTTGGTGGATCCCTGTCAAAACTTCCCAGCTTAATCTTGAGGATTTTAAGGATTAGAAGGATGTTTATGGCTGGGAGGTGACAAAGCTCGTGGCTCTTGCAAGCTGAGGTAAGATATCTGCCTCATCACAGGCTGCTTGTGGCTTTGCGGTTGCAGGCACATCGATGTTCCTGATTAACATCAGGCC